GCTGTGTTTTTTATCAATAGATTAGGTCGAAATTTACAAAAACCTTCCTTAAAGTTCAGTACCATCAAAAATGTACTTAGTGTCTGTTATGCATGGATTAATAGTTAAGGCAAGATCGTCCCTACATTATTTTATTTAATAAACTGTAATCAACATTTCGGAGTATTTAACTCATTTTCGTTATTATTTTAATTAAGTACCACTTTATTTAATTAATAAATTTATAAAAAGAGCTATTACTTCGTCGGTATTTATATCATAATGCATTTAACCACATTTCAATACTTCTCCATAACGTCAGAACTATCTACGAATGTAAACAGTATTTATCCAGAGGTTCTTGACGTGAAGTGTTTGTAAATACTTATTGTCAGACGAATTAATAATATTACGTAGGTTTGTTATGTGACAATATTTTATTCAAGGAGATATTATTCTCTATCTAAATTAAACGTCTATGGAAATATTAGAGATGGGAAATTAGTCTACTGATCAATTATAAGGATGAAACAAAATTGTAAAGATTTACAGTCAAGAATTTTTATTAGGTTAGCCGACGTTTCGACCCAAATATGCGGGTCTAATTCCCAAACATAAGGGCTATTTTTTGGGAGTCGAGACAAGAACTGGAAGAACGAGACAGTTCTCGTCTCGATTTCCAAAAGATGGCCCTGAGGATGACCCGCATGTTTGGGTAGAAACGTCGGCAAACCTAATAAAAATTCTTTACTGTAAATCCTGACAATTTTGTTTGTAGAAATTATTACAAGGATTTTAAACAAATACAAATCGAGGTGTTTCTCCAATAAATATACTTATACTCTGAAGTTAATATTCCTAAGTAAAATCATGTTGAATACATTAATATATCATGAATATAAATATATCTGTTTAGAGAATAAGATCGGTATCCAGAGAAGAGACAACTCAAGCTCAGTAAACCCAAACCTCTCCGATTATTGCCCTTCCGTACTTCAGTTGCAGTATGTATTATTCATAACAAATTAAAATATTAATTTAATTACTTATTTATTGTTAAAATATAATTACCTATAGTTCTATCTAGCACACAACAAAAAAAAAAAATTTCATTGAGTCTAATCCGTGGTTCAAACCCCTTTTTATCACATTATTAACTTCCGCATGAAACTTCATGAATAGCTTCATCTCATCGTAACCTATGACTATTTTATTTATAACTAGCTTTACCCGGCCACGCGCTGCTGTGGCTTAGCCTGGCAAAATGAAAAAGAAAGAAAATAGAATTAATGAGTAGACTAACAGCAAAGGGCATCTGTCATTTTTAAAAAGTCGAGAAACAAATCGTCTGTAAAATGGCTTAAATTTAAACTAATTCTAATGATTTTTTTTTCTCATGATTCAAATTGAACATTCATAATCATCAGGAACAGTCTGAGATGAATAAAGAACGTATAATAGTATTGATCTAGATAAGGAGAATCATATCACTTCTTCAAATGATGATTTCAATTACTGTAGTAATTATAAAATTTTCGATTAATCAATAAAAATAAAAAAATTCTTGCCGACGTTCGGTAGTGAGGAAGCAAAAGAAAACGGCCTTTTCTGAAGAGAAAGCAGTAAATGATTAAAACTCTATAACTCTGCAACGAACCGTCCGATTTCGATGGTTTTTTTTTTTATTTTGTCGGCAAATCAAGAATCTTTCAACTAAATGTGGGTATTAAAATTGTGTACTTTTTTAGTTATCGTGAAATAAAATATTGAATTCATCGTAACATTTTTCAGCTTGTTTTCGGGAAAGTATGTTCTACACATAAATGAAAAGGGCTTCAAGGAGAAGATTTTAGCCAAGTTTCGTTAAAATCGGTAAAGCCGTTTTGGCGCTACAGCTTATAGCGACACATTTTTTTGCGGCTTTGAACAGAAAAACATTTACATTTTTATTTTTTTTACATATATAAAATTATCGTAAGACATAAGTAATATGACCGAAACCTTCCCAGGAGTGTACGGAACAACTTCCTAAACTTTCATGGCGATCGGATGAATGGTTTAGTAATGCACCAAGGACAAACAGACGGATAGACAGACATACATTCATTTTTATATATATAGATATACAAACGACTCACCATTTTTGAAGGCCATTTCTTTTCCGGATTTCGGGCTCAAATTATCTTACGATTCAAGTTGAAAGTAAATGGGTATTTACGAGTTTTTAGTGCCTAATTAAATGGACAAAGTTTTCCGATCAGAAGATTCAAAATGCCCCAACTTCCAAATAATTTTAGGTTACGATGTGATGAATCGATTTACAAAGTTTCAAGCGGATGTTAATAATTTGATAAAAAGGGGGTCTGTACCACGGACTAGTCCGTTCACAGCTCCAAATTAAATTGTAATTAGGTTTTTATGATCCATTAATAAAATTGGCGGGCTTGGTTCAAGAACTTGGTTAGGATCGTATTAAATTAAATAAGAAACCAGGTAGCTCCAACATTGAAATTTGAATAAACTAGCAATTCTAGGACTAATTTGTTTTTGCTTAGACGTTTATATGCAACCATTAGTGTTGGTTTAAAACAACAACAATAAATCCGAACACACTTGGCATCTATACCAAAGGATAACAAGTAATTTTATTAGCATGTGATAGCCAATCCCACATTCTTTACCACAGAGACGAACAGAGATGCTATATTTATGCTTTGTACCAATCGAAACCATTATTGTCCACTGGCAGAAATGAAATAAAATATTTTATTGGAAAATTTCAACCGCTAAAAGTTTTATAAAATTTAAAAAATATTTAAATAAATAAAAGGATATTTTTATTGATTATTATAATAAATTAATTAAACAAATTATTGAGTAATATTTTATTTACATTATGTATGAAGTAATTCAAATGACATCCACTTGTGGTGAAGAAGTGGTTAACTGTAGGCAATATGGTTACGGGTTACATTCAATGAAAAAAACAACACGGTTTTGACTATCAAATTAATAAAAATATTTTTAAATTAATATAACAAATACCTCTACAACGAACAAATAAAAACTAGCGAACGGTGGGATATGCGGTAAATGTGAGAAATGTGGGGCAATGTACTTATTGAAGGACACTGCAGGAGGCCACGTGCATTGACGATTTCAGTCACATCTCAGTTTTTATTTAAAGAGCACGGCGATATTAATACTAAAATATCAATTTTCTTAATGGTAATAATAATAAATATAATTACAGTATCAGATCATAAACATTCCTTAATAATTATTTGATTCATAAAAATTTATCACGCCTCTATCCCTAAGGGTCATTTTGGTGTATTACTTCAAAATTCGCATATTTCACTACAAAGCTTTGCTTCTTATAAATATTCAAATAGTTTTCTAATTTTCTCTTTTGGTCTTGGAGTATTTCTTGTATTGTCGTACCCGTCTTTAAAGTTTGTCTTAGGGCTATTAAAATGCTCGCTAGGTTCTGTATGGACGTGCCTGGCAGTTTGGCAATGGTTTAACATTTGAGCTTCCAATCCCCACGAAGGTATCCCTGAGAAAACTCAATAATTGTAACGCACACTGCAAAATATGATTGATTTTCGGTTTAAAGTTTCCCATCTAGCATGGATTTTGTTTACTTCTTGCAGTTTTGCCGAAATTATTCCTCATGTTACTTTCTTATGCAATGAAACAAACTGATGAGCCCAGTTATCTTTTACTGGCTATCTTATCATTTCGTTCCTTAAGCGCCTGTTAAACTATAACTTGGAAGCGCCTATAGCCAACTGATAGGAAGTCTGAAAGGGAAGTATATACAGACGTTCCTTTGTTAGAGCTGAACTGCTTTGGTGCCCAAGTACTGATAAGACTGACAGTAACAATGTTAGTTCCTAAAATAACGTTTCAAATCTGACATATCTTATTATTTTTTTAATAGATAGCCTTGCCATAGTTAAGTTAGAAAAGGCATTTGAAAGACAATTATTATCTACATTGAAGAATATGAACATTATCTATTTTCTTTGTCTTATAGAAATACCTGCTTTACATTTACAATTGGAAAGATATTTTTCAAGACATTTAAATTGTCAAGAATAATCAGGGAATAAAGAAATAACTTTTGGAGGAGTAAATATTGAAAATTATTTTTCATGATTGCCAATATTTTTTATTTTTTGTTCTTCCCTTCCTCACCTTTTAGGCTATACGGAGTTTTCACGGGCTAGGGGATTAGGGTGGCGGAATAACGCTATAATTAAAAACTTCCCCCGGCTCTGGTAAGCGAAATCGTAATTATTTTTATCTCTAAACTTCGGCTATCAGATTACCGGACAAGGTACACTCCGATGCACACGCCTTAACCAGTTTGGCCACTCCGCCGAATGATGGTGGATATATCGTTGATATTTATATTTAATAAAAGTCGAAGTGGAGTTCATGAGGTGCATTAAACTTTCTTTAATGTATTAAGTTTTCTCACAAATTGTAGGCTCTGATCATGGTAACGAGACCAAGTATGTGAACAAAATTTTAATTCGATACCTCCCTTTTTTAATAGCTTAAGCGGAAGAAGAAATCAAGTACTCGGCGATTTTCCTGATCTTAAGGTGCATTACCTTAGCAACATCAAGTCTAGCGGCACTGGTTCGAATCTGGCTTAGGCGGAATAAAAGTTGTTTGATGGCAGACCCATAGAATAAATCTCGACCTTCCCACTGTGGTGTTATAATGGGGTGATTATAACTGTAGAATAACCCCGGGAATAGAATTAATATTTCCGATTCATCGTGTGAGAAGTTTTTGATTCCATCTGAGTGCTGTCATTGAGTGCCTACCATATTTACAATAAGTTTTGCTTAATATATTAATGTAAAAATAACATTAATAAATTAAATATTATTTATGAAATATAACATTTGGTGGTGTTGCACAGTCGCCCTCCGAACACTCAACCGACCTACCCAACGATCACAGACCATTCCTACCAATCCGATCTCTTCCCCTACCACGAGATGAGCGTGGAGCAAGAACACGGTCAACAGTGGCATATAAATAATAATGCGGTAAGTAGCTTCGTCTGGCCATTCTTAATTTCTCCAAAACTTAACTATTTTCGCAATGAAGAATGAGCTGTATAGATTAGTAAAATATGATCTATGAACATTGCTGTCTTCTTAAACGACATTCAGGCTAAAAATAACGGAGTTTAGATGCTAGAAGTGTATCTATTGACTTAGGGAGATGTGGCCAATATGAGGTATCTAGGAGAGGTGTCAGTAGATGGTGATCCCATTGGGTGTAATATTTTACAATTAAAAATTGAAAAATAATGTTAAGCCTTTAAAGACATACTTAGGTGGGTACAGATTATTATAAAATTAATACAACTTCTTTGTTGAACACGCAGATAGGCAGCCCAAGTTCATTTTAAAGACATTCCGGTAAATCAAAACCAAAATTAAAAAATGTTGCAAATATAGTAAAATAGTATAGGTATGCAGGATATGTAGTCTTGCTAATCATTGTTGATTTAGATGGAATTCACTTTGAGATAAAAATCATGTTTTCGTGTAATCTGTTATGTGATGTTTAATAATTCTATTATGCGCTTCTACTTCTAGCATCTCATTGCTTTCAAGTTCTCCTAGTTATATTTAATAAATTGTTCGATGAAAGTATATTGGCTACATCATCTTGTCGGGAATATAAAAAAATACACTGCAATATTGGTAACTCATCAAGATACACTTTCTTATAGGTGATCATTTCAAATGGTGTCCCAAATCTTCTGAATGTTTCGCAGCGGATTAATCAGGTTTGCATATTTAGAAGTTTAACACTCTCTTCTTTCAGAAACTTCTTCGTCTTCACATAGCTGTCATCCATCCAGTAAATCCTTTATTAAAATTAGCATTACTCTAGTATCTATTTTTGGTTGAAGATAATCCATATGAGTAAGCTCTAACTTTAACAATGAAATTGTAAGTTGGGATGTAGTTTTTATAAAATATTTTTGTCTATTTCCTCCAATTGCCTCCATCCTCTCCGGACGTTACAACACGTTAAGACATGAAGAAAAGCTTTTACACACAAGTCTTTCCGCATTCACTGAACTTAAGTAACCATTATTTTACCAATCATACTGTAGTAAGCTCTAATAAAGACTCTTCACGGGGAAGCATACAAGGAGTAAGGCTTCCGAAATTTTGCGGAGTAAGTCAATATGAGGAGGAAGGCGGATTTGTAGACCTCTATTTGAGTTATTTGAAGTACCCACTTTAATAGAGAAGTTCCTTTTAACAGTATTCATGATTCAGTTTAGTTCATTCGGTTTAAATTTAGAGAAGATATTGCCGTTATCACTCACTTAAGCTCTCATGTATTCAAAGGTTTGACTTGTTTGATAGGCCTTCGAGTCGCGCAGACGATTTTCATCATCAGATTTGTTGTACCGTTGTGCTATGTGAGGAATGATCAAGACGGCACTTGGAGTGGAATGGGGTATCCAACCGAGCACGCCAGCTTTAGAAGCGTTCTTTGTGGTAAGACTGGTGTGAAAGATAAAATGATTGAGATTCACATCTGCCATATCTGCAAATATGTTTGTTTTTAGTATTGTAAGAAATTATAAAAGTGGTGTAACAGTTTAGCACATAGGTTAGTTTATATCGAGAATTATTTTCTCAATGTAAATATAGCGTTATATTTTTAAAGTTCATTCATATTCATATGTCCTGCTTCATTAATTTATTTACCTATTCTACCCTATCAACATGAAGATTATACCAGACCTTTGGTACATAAAAGTATTTTAAGTAGCATCCACTATTTAACATGTTGCTTGACGTCAATCAAGATGGATATGTGGATAACAGTTGTTTAGCAGGATAACTGCTCGATTTCTTGGGGTTATCGATTATTACCATTAAATTTCTATAGTTAAAATAGGATATAAGTAGATAAGAATTCATTAAACAGCCATAGGAGTACAAGTAACTGTGGTATGGCACAGGGACAGCAGAGCCAGACGACGGCGTACCCTCCTCAGCAGCAGGCGGAGTGCTACGGGGAGTGGCGCGGCAGACAGAGCTCGGTGGCCAGCCTGCTGGTGCTGCAGAGGACCACGGCTCAGAGTGAGTACCCTTAGCGCAGGTCCGACAGGTGAGTGGTTTGCACTTTAACATATCAGCTGTTGCTGTGGCAGGGAACCAGAGGATGCAGCGGCCGCAGCAGCCGTACCAGCAGTCCATCATGATCGGCCAGCAGCAGTACCAGCAGCAGCCCATCCTTCTCAGCAGTGACTTCCCGGAGCTGCCCAACAGAGGTCAGTACCCTTCATACTTTAGGTTCCAATCCAGGCACTTGTCGAGCCAACATCTCAGGAGTCTTGAGCCCGAATCGACGTCGGATCGAATTCGGCTTGTGTAAGTTAAATTTCATTTCTAGGCGAACAAGCTTTGCAAATCTCGAAATACTCACTTTGGATATAATAGGTAAGTAATCTGTTGCCATACCCGGTGCGTTCACCCTCTAGAATTGTATTTCTATTTTGAATAGTGTTGCCCAAGATCGGTCTTGGTCTTGTAAAGTACAAGACCAAGATCAAGACTGGTAAAAAAAAAATTGAATAAAAATCAAGGTAAAATATACTAAGATACTGTATGTAAAGAATTGGTATAACCAATATATTTTTGCATTTAACTCTGTTATTAACTAATTTTTCATTTGGGCTTAGTTTGGTTTTCCCAATCTAAAAAAAATACAGTAATTTCTCTATAGTACTAAGCTAATAAGTAACTGCAAGAACGTTGCGGGACTCTTGCGCCAGACCAAGACCAAGACCAAGACCAAGACCAAGACTCGTCTCGGTCTCGCATTTGGGCAATACTAATTTTGAAACACTCACTCTTTTTTATCTCTGTTCTTCAGTGCTATCGTCAATAATTTTGTGGAATTGATGACCAATGAAGAATAAGTGGATTTGTAGACCTTGTTTGTATTCTTAAGTGAAACTTATTCTTTTTTGTAAATGTGACGTTTTGCCATAATCTTATGTCTGATTTAATAGATTTTTCGAAAAAATTTAAGACAATTTTGTTTATTGAAGAATAATGTCGGTATTAGGTTATGGTGAGCGATTGCTGGTTGAAGATAAACATGTAACTAACAATGTTATCATATTTTACGACTGAGCATGGTGTATTCTTGAGTGAAACTTATTCTTTTTTGTAAATGTGACGTTTTGCCATAATCTTATGTCTGATTTAATAGATTTTTCGAAAAAATTTAAGACAATTTTGTTTATTGAAGAATAATGTCGGTATTAGGTTATGGTGAGCGATTGCTGGTTGAAGATAAACATGTAACTAACAATGTTATCATATTTTACGACTGAGCATGGTGTATTCTTGAGGGAAACTTATTCTTCTTTGTAAATGTGAGGTTTTGGCATAATCTTATGTCTGATTTAATAGATTTTTCGAAAAAATTTAAGACAATTTTGTTTATTGAAGAATAATGTCGGTATTAGGTTATGGTGAGCGATTGCTGGTTGAAGATAAACATGTAACTAACAAAATTATCATATTTTACGACTGAGCACCTCCAAATATAGAGTATTGAACGTACCGTCATATACATTAGCCCGTTAAGTCATAATATGTAGGAATATTTGCGATTAGTTTTAATCGTATTATTTTATTTGCTGACTGTAATTTGCAATTTTATCAATAATTATGATCAATGGAATTAAACAGGCAATTGTGAGTAAACTAGGAATGAGAGTTTTATGCTTATGATTTATTTATATCTTATGATTGTTTATGGTTTGTTTTATGATTTATGCAGCAAGTCACGCCATTAAAAGTTTTGATAATGGTCACATTTTTACGGAGTTATGATTTTTTTGGAGGGAACCTCTGCTATAATCAAAGCCTTCCAATATCCTTTTTTATTCAATAAAAATCGAAAGATTATTTCCAATAGATTAAAAATCAAGAATGATACACATCGAGGATTTTGCTATGAAATTTAGTAATTGTGGAGACAAGAAATAGTAGGTATTCGATGTTAGTAGAGAAGTTTTAAAACTTAAATTTTAATTAACGCCTATATTTAAATTCATTTAAGTATCTTCCAAAGATATTCCTCTAGACCACATTCGAATAAATAATGCTTAATTCTTATAAGCAAATATCATTCTAACGAATGTTTATTTATAATATTATATCTTGTTGTAATAATAAATACGTTTCATATGGAAATAAATTCAGCGATATGAAGAATACCTTTTAAGGAAACACCAGATATAATTTGTAAAGATTCGCAATGTAATATTCACCGGAAACGTAAAATCTCTCACCTGTGATTCACTAAGGCACTAAATATCACACCACACGTCATCAAATTCCATTAAAAAAAACATACCATTTTGCTTTCATCGCCTTCCCACGAACAAGTTAATTTGCGCTTCATGTCGTTTGATTAATGATGTTGTCAAATTTCCAAATCGTGCGCGCTTCCCAACAAATTAATACATCGTTGGCTAATGAAGCTGTGCGCATCTGGTCTCTTGATTGCACCTTGTCCGGCGGTTATTAATTAATTATGCGCAAATCTGTTGAAACGGTGGACGAGAGGTGTTTAGCAAAAAAAAAACAATCTCTGAACACGCTATTTCTTTGACTTGAGTATTTTATGGTTAAAAATATTGTTTTTATTTTTTATTTTATTCTGTTGAATAATTAAATAACCAAAAAGTATTGAAACACTTCTTTATGCATAGAGACCGTAAGGCATCTCCAAAAATAAATAATTCAACACATTTTAAATTTTGTATTGAAACGATGGCAATAACAACAGAATGATATTTAAAATAATAAATTTTGTATTCAGGGGACTCCGAAGCTTGCAGATAAAATAAGATCTGTACTATAAATTAATGTAAACAAATATCACCTCGGCGGTCATAAAAAGACTTAAAATAATACAAAAATATTTATATATATATATATAGAATAGAATAGAAAAATAATTTTATTCTGGGACGAAGTCCCTTCAGAATAACAAAAAAGTACAGAAATTAAAATTTAAATATATATATATATATATATTTCCATTTTGTAAAAGCTTCAATCCAAAAGCACCTCTCCCCTACGATCTGCGAGTGCAATTAAACATATTTGACAAATAAAAGGTTTTCTATTATTTTGATGCTTTTAATGTGTTTCTGTATCGATAAATGAGATCGAAATTCACAAACAATACTCTTTTCTGTTTTTCTCAAAACAGTCAGCAACCTATCGAAGAGCAGTGTCGAATTTTATGAAATTAAAAGCAAACATTTTCAGTTTTTTTTTTTTAACACGTTTACACAAATAGGCTAAGTAATGTTTCTCATCATCCTTGAGTATTACCGCAACGTTTGCACTCCTGCTGTTCTCTAGTACTAAGTCATTCAGAATCGGAAACTAAAACAATTGTTGTCCAACCCTCAAAACTTTCTATGCTAGGGTAGTCATAAAATGAAAAAATAAATAAATAAATAAAAGATTAGACTAACGAAATAGTTCAAACATTCAAACTGTGTGGTTAGTAACTTTTGATTCGTTATCATTGTTTTTGATAATCATTATTAATGTATATATATATATATTTCCATCATGTGAAAAATTTCCTCCAAAAGCCCTCTCCCCTACATGGGGGTCTGCAAGTGCAATTAAATATATTTGATATATAAAAGGATTTGTATATTTGGATGCTCTTAATATGTTGCTGTATCGATAAATGAGGTCGAAATTCACAAAAAAGTCCTTTTGAATTCAGCTCCATCAAAAATGTACTTAATGGTTTTTAAAAAAAATTATAATTTATTTATTATGAAATAGATTTTGGGATATTTTTTTATATTATTTCGCTGTACCAATAAATATTATCAGCGCATAAACGGCTCCCTGTACTTTTTCATTTGGCATACTCTCTTACTCTCTAAACTCTTGACATATCTGTGTAATGTTAAGTAAAACAACCTTACAAACCAATTTACGATGAAACAGAGAATAAAGTTAACACACAAGTATTATTTAATTTTCGAACGGAAAATTTTTTTTTTCGTTTAATTATTTTTTGTATTAATATTTATCAAAGTTGGAAAAAATTAGATATTGATGAGAGTTATAAAGTTATAAAATACATCTTGTGGAATCCTTTGTATCCAGGACCAGTATTTAGCCTTGAAGTACCCTCGCCATCAGTAAAGTCGGTCGTGACGCAAGCTTGCGCTATAAAATGTCTAGGATATACACGATGGAGTACTTCACTCGTTATTATCCTCCAGATAAAACTTTAATGCAGCTGCTTATATTTTCATGTTTTATTTTTCATCAGGTGGCAAAACGCCACCTTTTTTCGAACCATACTCTTTTCTGTTTTTCTCGAAACCGTAAGCAGACTATTGAAGAGCCGTGTCGATTTTTATGACACTAAAAGCATACATTTTCAGTTTGTTTTTTCACAAGTTTACACAAATAGGCTAAGTAATGTTTCTCATTATCCTTCAAGTACCAAAACGTTTCCACTCCTCCTGTTTTCAAGTACTAATGTCATTCAAAATCGGAAACTGAAACAATTGTTGTCCCATCATCAAAACTTTCTGTGCTAGATTGGTCAAAAAGGATAAAAAATAAATAAAAGATTAGACTAACAAAATAGTTTCAACTTCCAAATTGTGTAGTTAATAACTTTTTATTCGTTATCTTGTTGTTGATAATCATTATTGGTTGATTCAAAATAGTATAAATAAATGGAAATAGAATTGTAAGAATGCTACTAGTAAAATCTGGGCGTAAAATTTGAACATCTGTTAGGACCGACTCTTTATCACTTACTAGGGGAGTGCAAAACGAATGGACAAATTGTATCAAACAATTCAGGTAATGAGACGCTTTGAAGGGACCTATCACTTTTAAGTGGCAGTGAACGAACTGATGAAGGAGTATGTGGTCAGAAGTTCTTATTCGCCCTTTTTTAGGATTGAAGTTTCTCTAAGAATGGGTCCAATAAATTGCAAGAGAAATGTGGAAAAATTATTTAGAACAAAAGGAACCGCTGCCATTCAATCTTCTAATTCTGAGGAAAAAGAATAATCATGATAGGTTATCTACAAAACATCTAACGTCCATAAACTCTGGAATTAATCTCCAATCCTCTGCCCTGGCAAGCAGAAATCTCCTTTATAGACGAAAAGGTGAAGAAGGGAAAAACGAAAAAAACCCATAATTAGCAGGCTAAGAATTGGACGTACCCAGCTGATCCATCTCCACCTTC